AGCATCAAAAATATGTTCCCAAATAACCTTTATAATGTTACAGCTGTGAAAAAGATGTGTGAGGGTTTCATTTTCTGTTTTACAAAAATGTCAACACAATTATTAGATTTGCTTATTCTAAATAGTTTCTGCTCCGTGTAAATAATGTTATGAACAATTTTCCAGCTAATTTGATTTGCTTTTCTAGAGGACATATTTTTTTGTAAATTTCTTCATATCTTTTTCCAAGATAATTCCGAATTATACTGAATATTCCATTTTATTTCACAGTTTGGAACCATATCTAAATTTAACGAATATTGGATTAATTTCAAATATATTTCACTTTGGATTACTTTACTACTTTATTCCGTTGATCGTAAATTCAGAAGTATTTTTAACGTAATAACCATTATACTTTTGAAAAGCATCAAAAATATGTTCCCAAATAACCTTTATAATGTTACAGCTGTGAAAAAGATGTGTGAGGGTTTCATTTTTTGTTTTACAAAAATGTCAACACAATTATTAGATTTGCTCATTCTAAATAGTTTCTGCTCCGTGTAAATAATGTTATGAACAATTTTCCAGCTTATTTGATTTGCTTTTCTAGAGGACATATTTTTATGTAAATTTCTCCATATCTTTTTCCAAGGTAATTCCGAATTATACTGAATATTCCATTTTATTTCACAGTTTGGAACCATATCTAAATTTAACGAATATTAGATTAATTTCAAAGGTATTTCACTTTGGATTACTACTTTATTCCGTCTATCGTAAAATTCAAAAGTATTTTTAAAGTAATAATCATTATACTTTTTAAAGGCATTAAAAATATGTTCCCAAATAACCTTCATAATGATACAGCTGTGAAAAAGATGTGTGAGGTTTTCATTTTCTGTTTTACAAAAATGTCAATACCATTATTTGATTTGCCCATTCTAAATTGTTTCTGCTCCGTGTAGATAATGTTATGAACAATTTTCCAGCTAATTTGATTTGCTTTTCTAGAGGACATATTTTTTTGTAAATTTCTGCATATCTTTTTCCAAGGTAATTCCGAATTATACTGAATATTCCATTTTATTTCACAGTTTGGAAAAATATCTAAATTTAACGAATATTGGATTAATTTCAAATATATTTCACTTTGGATTATTACTTTGTTCCGTTGATCGTAAAAATTCAAAAGTATTTTTAACGTAATAACCATTATACTTTTTAAAAGCATCAAAAATATGTTCCCAAATTACTTTATAATGTTGGATTTGCCCATTCTTAATAGTTTCTGCTCCGTGTAGATAATTTTATGAACAATTTTCCAGCTAATTTGATTTGCTTTTCTAGAGGACAAATTTTTATGTAAATTTCTCCATAACTTTTTCCAAGGTAATTCCGAATTATACTGAATATTCCATTTTATTTCACAGTTTGGAACCATATCTAATTTAACGAATATTGGATTAATTTCAAATATATTTTCACTACTTTATTCCGTTTATCGTATAATTCAAAAGTATTTTTAACGTAATAACCATTTTTGTGTGGTTCGGGTTGTAAATTGACGTCTTTTAGTCTGTCCTTGAACGATTTTGGAATAACTAATTTCAGTCTTGTCCATTCCGAAATCCCGTTTTTTTTTTTTTTTTTTATCTTTAAGGATAAGGATTTTGTATTACTATATAAAAGTTGTCGCTTTTGATATTTCATCCCAAATATCTTTAATTGTATGAATTCTACTTTTTCCGAAGTTAGCGAAGAAAATAGGTTTTCTGTTATATTGAATTTTTATGTTTCCAAATAATTGTTGGTTTAAGATATCATTTCTATTTATTGGACTTCGTATACTTAAAAATTTAGACAACGTTTTTAGTAAATCAAGATAAATTTTGGAAAATTTTCCATTTGTAATCCTCGTAAATCAAAACATTTTGCTAAAAAATTTCACAATTATATTTGATATCAATTTTCTGTAACCACCATTTGGCTATCGTGTTCTAATTATCATTTTCTGATCTTTTGCATACTTTCAATTTGTTTAAATTAAATAAACGAGTCTATGTTGATCATACCCACCCCCCCCTTCCTTAACTGGTAAGCAACACACGTCCCTTTTAATTAAATTTACTTTTCCCTCCCATATAAAATTCCACATGATGTTTTTTATTTCTTTTTTATATTTTTTTAGGTATTCCTCGCATTTCGATTTCAAACCCTATTTTAGATATAATCAATGATTTTAAGACCCTGCCCTTGAATGTTAGGTCATGAGATTTCAAAACCTCAAGACACGCCTTAATTGTCTCTATTTTTTTCTAACCATATAGCTTCTTCATTGACACTGTATCCATGCATAACTCCCAATGCTTTAATTGGTTCACTTGACCACCTAATGTTTTTTTTATATTTTGGTGTTTTATTTTTCAAAGGACCCAAATATACCCCTATAGTCTTTTCAGAATTTATCTTAGCTCCCGATGCGTTCTCGTATATTTCTAAAACCTTAAATGTTTTCTCGATTGATTCCTCTGTTCTATTAAAGAATTGTGTATCGTCTACAAACATGTTTATTTTAACCTCTTTGTTTTCAATTTCTGTGTTGGGGTGAGGTAAATTAATTCCTTGAAATTTTGGATAAGTTCTAATTGTGTCTGCCATGTAAAATGTATAGCATGGGCGATATTGGACAGCCCTGACGGATAATAGTTAATTTTATAGACTGTTGTACGTCATTTGGTCGTTTTTAAGTTTTTGCCATGGCGTTGTCAGTATGTCTTCGACTTATAAGTTTTATATAATCTGCATCTCTTGTGCTGTATTTTGAAATGTATTACAATTGCTGCATCTTTACACATTCATCAATACACCAAAAAATATGAATAAAGCTTTCGTATATATAAAAATATGCGAGATGTGGTACGATTGGTAATGAAACAACTATCCGCCAGCTCAATTCAAAAATCTGATATAGGCAAATGTGACTTACTTACTTACTTTAGTCAGAGAGATCTTGAATCTGAATTCAAGGATACGAAGTGGTAAGGGTTTTGAGGTGGGAGCATGGGGGCCCGCCCCTTTTTTGGAAAAATGTTGGTTGATTATTTAGAGAATCACTGAAGCGGGCCCCCTCTTTATGCATGACAGTTAGTGCCTCCTTATGACATTTTTGATCCGCAACTGGTGAGGACTTCATAAAAAAATATTTAGTAAGTTTTTGTTTTGTGATAAATAATGTATTTACATTCACATAGACAGAAATAGGATAAAATAAACTACCGAAAGCTTAAGTCCACATAAGAGGGTATGGATGGGGGTTAACAGAATAGAGAATAACGGGCAAACAATAAATATTAAAGAATAATGAAATGCTAAAATATGAGGAAAGAGAGTAATGAGCAAAAAGTGTAAGTTTTTAGAAATATAGCTAAAAAAAATAAAGAACACAGAAAAAGAAGACCCCCCCCCCCCCCAAACCCCAAGATCATCCTGATTTCAACTTTAACCAGAGACATATATATACTATAGTAGAATGTAGGACAGTAAGTCACAGGACAAAAAGTCACGGACGAAAAGTCACAGGACAAAAAGTCACAATTCAGTTTTGAGATTATTTTTCTCTGAACAAGAAAACACTAATTTTAAAAATAAATTTTTGATTTTTTATTGAACTATTATAATATATGAAGCAACTTTGTAATTAAAATGTATTCAATAAATATTAATGATGATCAAATAATTGTTATGATAACAAAATGTCAAAGTGGTTTGCCAAGAAATATATTATTTACATGATTAAAATTTAATAATTTTTCATTTATCAAGGCTTATGAACAATTTCCTGAACTTAAAAATGAATAAATGTAAAAAAAGAAAACTATTTGAAGATCTTTTTCTTATATATTCAAACAATTGGCAATAAATTTTTTGTGACTTTTTGTCCTATCCAATTTGTGACTTTATGTCCTGTGACTTTTTGTCCTGTGACTTTCTGTCCGTTTACCCTATTCATAGTATAGCCTAGTGTTTCTGTTAAAATAAAGTTCTGGTCATGGTTAAAATAATATCTCAGAATTTGTTTAGTTGTAAAAACAATTACCAAGTAATAATCCATTTAGAACTTCACCTCCGGCAAAATTCAGGTGATCGGAGGGCAATAAATTGCGTAATCGCACACCTGTGAATCCAAGGAAATAATGACCGGAAAATCGGACACACATAATTTCACTGTGTAATTTAGAAGCAAACTTTAGCAAAGAAATGTTTCTTGTAATATCATGATCATTACCAGATTTTACTTTTTAAATTAAAAGAAATGCCGAAAAAAAGAAAAAAATATTTTCTCAATCAAATACATTAAAAAAAAAATACAACTATTTCAAGTAGTTTTTTAGAAAAAGAATTTATTTGATCTGAAATAAGTTTTCCTATTACTTTTCTTGATTAGCTATCGAGGTTATTCATCCCTTACTTGTCTACATGTTGTAGAATAATTATCGACGAGAATCTCATTCCGGACCGAGTTTTTTAACGGGATTTCACGGAGTTGCCAATCTCTGTGTATATATGTCTCTGCTTTAACGCTGCCGGGATATTTTGAGACAAAGTGCACGTATTAGTAGTCAGCCGAAACCACTAAGCGTTTTGCATCCATACGTTTTTTTTCGGGATACTGACTGCATAGTAAATTATCAATGTACTAGTTAATGTTCTCGAGGGATGACCCTATAACAGAGACATATATACACATATGTGTATATATGTCTCTGCCCTATTACGTGTCAGTAACCTTCTCGACACGGTTCATTTTTACGGCGGCTCAGTTTTGTCTTAAGAATAAACATAATTGATAAGTTTCTTTCCCCTGCATTCCTCGATCGCACTTGTAAATATCACATGGGTCTCAAGACATTGGTACACTATACCAGAGACATATAATATGTCTCTGTTAATACTTACGACTAAGATTGATTATAAGTATACTTGAGTCGGTTTGAGAAAAAAAAAACTTATAAGTAATCGTAAGTATACTGTATTGTACATGACTTAATTACTATCAATATTATTTGTAAGTTTTTTTGTGAAACTGACTGCTGAATTGTTTTTCCATGCTTATGGTACATCTAAGTCGTATGCTTTTTTTAAAACCACCTCCAGGGTATAATGTCTGCTGGCCCATAAAATCTGTTTGTAGATATAGGAAGATGTGGTATGAGTGCCAATGAGACAACTCTCCATCCAAGTCACAATTTATAAAAGTACACCATTATAGGTCAAGGTACGGTCTTCAACACAGAGCCTAGTTTTTATCGAAAATGATAGTATATAGGTTAAATAATTTATTCATACATTTTTAATTGACTGACCTAGAATTATCATGATATTGAGGAATTTAAACCATTCCTATTTTTAAAAAGGGACAAAATTAAAATTTATATATAATAACAGGGTGATACAAATGAGAAAAACTCAAGAAATTGTTTTCAATTAAGATAAATACATGCAGTTAATAATGGTTTTCAGTTGTTTTTTAAAGCAGAGGCAGATTTAGTTTAAAGTTGGAAAAAATTGTTTGTACCAACAAAAATAAATACACGAAGTTAATCCAGAATTTATATGTGTTTATAATTTTTTTTTATGTTTAGGTTGTCAGCCAGATGAAAAGAACAATGCAGTTCAAAAGTCAAAATGTGGATAAGCTGCGGTACAAGGTCCTACTTTTGCAGATTTTCATATTTTGCATGAATGAATTTGAAGTTTATATCATGGAGGGCAGAGAATTTTCCTGCTTCTGAAGGATAAATGTAAAACATCTTGTTCGGTAAGTTTTATGCTCTGTTTTGATAGTGTTTGTGCATCCATCTGTCTTTCTCTAAATTTTATTCACTTAAAGTTTTTGGTTACAGTTCACCATGAACTTCAGTTAGTAACTTGTGGTTTTACATTTATATACTCAAAATTTAGTACTTTAAAATGTTCATGTTTTTTTGTCGAGCCTGCAACTTTTGTCGCAGAAATCTCGACATAGGGATAGTGATCTGGTGGTGGCTACGGCGGTGGCGTTAGCTAACTTCCTAAAAGCTTTATATTTTAGAAGGTTGGAAGACCTGGATGCTTCATACTTTGTATATAGATGCCTCATGATACGAATTCTGTCTGAAACATGTCCATTGTCCTTGACCTCATTTTCATGGTTCAGTGACTACTTGAAAAAAAAGTTCAGATTTTTTGTAATGTTAATTTCTCTCATATTATGAGTAATATGATAACTATATTTGGTATGTGCATACTTTGCAAGGTCCTCATGCTCGTCAGAGAGTTTTCACTTGACCTAGACCTCATTTCATGGATCAGTGAACAAGAACTTAGTCTTAGATGCATGATTTTTTTTATTAGTTGTTAGTGGCTTTGTACTACATTGTACTAGCTGTCAGTAACTGCGAGTACTCTCAGATCTGTACTTAGTGTCTTTTTTTGTTGTTTGGATGTACGAGTACCCGGCCACGTCCACTTGTATTTGTAGTATTTGTATTTATATCCATCTGATGAGTTAAGCCTCTTTCAACTGATTTTTATAGTTCGTTCTTATGTTGTACTGTTACACCACTGTCCCAGGTTAGGGGGAGGGTTGGGATCCCGCTAACATGTTTAACCCCGCCACATTCTGTATGTATGTGCCTGTCCCAAGTCAGGAGCCTGTAATTCAGTGGTTGTCGTTTGTTTATGTGTTACATATTTGTTTTTCGTTCATTTTTTGTACATAAATTAGGCCGTTAGTTTTTCGTTTGAATTGTTTTACATTGTCATTTCGGGGCCTTTTATAGCTGACTTCGCGGTATGGGCTTTGCTCATTGTTGAAGGCCGTACGGTGACCTATAGTTGTTAATTTCTATGTCATTTGGTCTCTTGTGGAGAGTTGTTGTCTCATTGGCAATCAGACCACATCTTCTTTTTATACGACCGCAAAAATTTTTTTGTGGTTGTATATTGGTATGACGTTCAGGCGTCGTCGTCGTCGGCGTCCGAAGACACATTAGTTTTCGCACTCTAACTTTAGTTTAAGTGAATGGATCTCAATGAAATTTTACCATAAGGTTCAATACTACAATAGGAAGGTGGGGATTGATTTTTTTGGGTTATGGTACCAACAGTTAAGGAATTAGGGGCCAAAAAGGGGCCAAAAATAAGCATTTTTGTAACTTCCAGACATAACTTGTGTGTAAGTGTATGGATCTCTTTGACATTGTACCACAAGGTTCCATATCACAAAGGGAATGCTGGGATTGATTTTGGGGGTAATGCCTCCAAATTTTAGGAATAAGGGGCCAAAAAGGGGCAAAAAACAAGCATTTTTCTAGTTTCATGACAATAACTTGTGTGTAAGTCTATGGATCTATCTGACATTGTATCACAAGGTTCCATATCACATAGGGAATGCTGGGATTGATTTTGGGGGTAATTGCTTCCAAATTTTAGGAATTAGGGGCCAAAAAGGGGCAAAAAACAAGCATTTTTCTAGTTTCATGACAATAACTTGTGTGTAAGTGTATGGATCTTTATGAAATTGTACTACAAGGTTCCATATCACAAAGGGAAAGCTGGAATTGAGTTTGGGGGTAATTACCCAAAAATTATAGGAAAAAGGGGCCAAAAAGGGGCCAAAAATAAGCATTTTTCTAGTTTCCAGACAATAACTTGTGTTCAAGTGTATGGATCTCTCTGAAATTGTACTGCAAGGTACCATACCACAAAGGGAAGGCTGGGATTGAGTTTGGGGATGATGAATCATAAGGGGGTTCAAAACATTTTGGGGGGGGGGGGGATTTTATTTTCCTTTTTTTTTCTTTAAAATTTTCCATTTTAAATTGGTTATTTCTGATTTATATATAAAAGCAAATAATAATGATATGGTTTGAATAGGTAAATTAAATTTTTTTTAAGTTCTTAGACCACTTTCATTCTGTGTCAGAAACCTATGCTGTGTCAAATATTTAATTACAATCCAAATTCAGTGCTGTATCAAGCTTGAATGTTGTGTCCATACTTGCCCCAACTGTTCAGGGTTCGACCTCTGCGGTCGTATCAAGCTGCGCCCCAGCGGAGCATTTTATTTATATTTAAGGTTAAGTTTTGGTGGTCAAGTCCATATCTCAGATACTATAAGCAATAGGTCTAGTATATTCGGTGTATGGAAGGACTGTAAGGTGTACATGACCAACTGGCAGGTGTCATCTGACCTTGACCTCATTTTCATGGTTCAGTGGTTATAGTTAAGTTTTTATGTTTTGGTCTGTTTTTCTTATACTGTATGCAATAGGTCTACTATATTTGGTGTATGGAATGATTGTAAGGTGTACATGTCTAGCTGGCAGGTGTCATCTGACCTTGACCTCATTTTCATGGTCCAGTAGTCAAAGTTAAATTTTTGAGTTTTGGTCTTTTTTTTCTAATACTAAATGCAATAGGTCAATTGTATTTGGTGTATGGAAACATTTTATGATGTACATGTCAGCCTCACAGGTTTTATTTGACCTTGACCTCATTTTCACGGTTCATTGCTCAGTGTTAAGTTTTTGTGTTTTGGTCTGTTTTTCTTAATCTATAAGCAATAGGTAAACTATATGTGTTGTATGGAAGGATTGTAAGCTGTACATGTCTGCCTGGCATGGTTCATCTGACCTTCACCTCATTTCCATGGTTCATTGGTCAATGTGTAGTTTTCTTGGTTAAGTCTGCTTCTTAGACTATGTTAGAAACTATAAGCAATAGGTCAACTGTATTTAGTATATTGAATGATTGTAAGGTGTACATATATTTCTTGTCAGGTTTATATGACCTTGAATTCATTTTCTTGGATCATGTTGAGTTTATGTGACAGTTGTAGTAAAGCTTTATATTTAGGACTATCAACATGATATCAATGATTAGTAAAGAAGGCGCAACATTTCAGCGTGTGCACTCTTGTTTATACATTATACACCACATTTACTGTTTTTACCCTGATTTTATGGATTACTGAACATAGAAATGTCATAATGTGAAATTATAGTACATTCTTAGGTTAAAGTTTTAGGTTAAGGTACATAGGTTACCATGAAGTTGAATTTCATACACATGTTCATTATGTGTTGAATTTTTAAATTCAGTGCCAAACTAAGATTTTGAGCCTGATTACATGATTGACTAGACATTGACACATGCTAGTGTTTGCCAGGCATGTCGTCCTATACTAGGAATTTGTCCTGTACTATAAAGAACTCTAATAGTACTCGCTGAGTATGGAGTTTTTGTGAAAGTTTAATATTAGTGAGATTTTTGCATGACATCCTGTCAACTGCTTGTTGATCATGTTTATACATGTCTTAAATTTAATATCTGACACATTGGTGTTTTGTGAAATTGGAAATAAGTTATTTGATAGAATAATAATGTTTTGAGATTATCAAAATAAAAAATATCCCATTTTTACTATTAATGATTAAGTATTAAAAAAAAGAAGATTTAGGATATATGTATAACCATATATAAAAATGAGACAGCAACCGTACAACACAAAAAAAGGAAAAAAAAACAATATAATTTTTTGTATCAATGTTATAATTTCCAACATGTCCAAAGAGTTCAATGTATTTTCTGATTGAAATAAAACACAAGTGGAACTCTTTCAGAACTTCAGAAGCTTAAAGAAGTGCTGTTTCTATTGTTGGCTTTCTGTATAATATATTGCAAATTCTTGTGAAAAATGGAATTTTATTGTATTTGCCTAAAGTTTTAACATTGATCTATATATATATATAACTGGGGAAAATACCTAAATGTTATAAAGAAGAATACATAAATTTATTGTTATATAATATTAGAATAGGAAGATGTGGTATGTTGCTAATTTGACAACTCTCCATCAGAGACCAAAGGATGTAGGAGGTTAGCAACTGATGACACTGGACAACCTTCAACAATCAGAAAAATCCATACTGTGGCGAGTGCACTTTAGAGTAAAGTTGGTAAGATCTAAATAGGAGTGAGAAATGATTAAAAACACATGTTAAAGTTGAAAGGTTTAAAGTTGCGATCGTGGGAATTCAGAAAGAAATATTTATGCTAGGTCAGTTGATAATCTGAGCTGAAACTGTACACACGTATTAATAGATTATAAAGATATTTTACTATATTGAAATGGAATTAAAAATGTAACTTTACAATAGACTCAGTTATTCTTGGGACACATAAGATGTGATATAAAATCTTGGCAAACATCGTCGTCAACAACCCAACAATGTAAGAGAGAAATGTAAAATAGAAAAGTATACAGCTAGTTCCCCTGATACCTTGGTCCTATGCAACATAGAGGATTACAAGCGTATCATATGGTGGAGGTCCCGGTTGTTGTTTAAAATGGACTTGTTATGTCATACCAGTTGAGAAACAGAACCATTGAACATTCAAAAATGAGCGATTCCGAAAGTGAAGTGACTATTCAAAATCAGCCTGAACCGGAAGAAAATTCAGCCGAAAAATCTAGTCAGCCAACACCAACACAAGCCACAGTGAACAGTGAACATTTCGAAGCATTAATGAGCAACATCAGTCAAATGGCTAAAACATTCCAACATGGATCAAAATCATCTACACCGGGATTTTCTATAGATAGTTTTGCCGGGTTACCAACCGAAGATGCCAACCTATGGCTCGATAAATTCGATGCATGGATTGCGTTCCATGGATGGAACAAGGAAAATGAAAAAATTGCAAGTGCTATGCGTCTCAAACTGGAAGGAGGTGCGCTATCGTGGTTTAATGGTCTGTCCAATAGTGTAAAAC